AAACAGATTTGTAAAGCAATCCTTCGCAATTGTTTTATTAACGTCGTTATCTTAATAAAATATTGTTTTTTTTTATTGAATCACGTGCTAATCGTTGCTTCTTTTGTAAGTAGGTGACTATTATGTTTGTAATTGAATACAAGCTGTCCAAGCCAATCCGATATGAGTCAAGTGCCAAAGCCACCGAAAAAAATCTTCAAAAATAAAGGACAACCACTGTAGCTCATCTGTTGCGTCGTTGTTCACCGAAAATGAAGCGCCACAGAAATCCCTCATATCCGCCTGCTCGCTCCGCTTCCTTAGTCGGTTTTGTCTTCACGCCAAAGCGGCCGAGCAGGGGGCTGCACCTTTCGCTCACAGCACCAAAAACTGCGAAGCTTTTTCTTTTTTTTTCTCTTTTCCGTGGCCGCGTTTAGTATATCCGCCATGAATCGCTACCTGTTGCAGTCGTGGAACGGCTTTGTCGCGGGTACTTCTCGCAGCAGCAAGGTATAATCCACCCCTTAGAACCACGATCGCGAAACGCACAGATCAACGTTACTAAAACACTCAGTTGGGAAACTCGCCGTCGAAACCTGGGCCTCTGGCGTCCACCGAGACCGAGCTAAATGCGACAACAGCGCCACTCTTTATCGTTTGTCTGTACTGTGGTGACCTTGAGCTTTTTGAAAGCCTGTTTTTGCGTAAAAACAAACGGAAAAGACTCTTTTTGTATGAAATTTATTAGAGTTTGGTACCAAATGATGGGCGCGTGATGTTTTTAAAATCTTTAGTTCGCAAGGTTTTGCGGAACAATTAATATTGTTTTTATACAACCATGCCTCAGCGGGCCTTTCAGGTAGCACGTCCTGACCTAGGTGCATTTTAACGTCGGTAGTCAAACGCGGCGCGTCCGCCGGGGAGACGGGGGTGGCACCCCTGTAACCCCTACCGCTGTATCTGTTCTTAGAGCCAAAATAGAAGTCACGTGCAGTTCCTCGAGAGGCCGCTGCGGGAGAAATGGTGGCGTTGTGTTCGTCATTAGCTCGGTGCTCGGAGACAGATTGGGGCCACTTTTTCAAAGCTGTCTCTATGGGAGTTTCCCAACTGAGTGTTTTAGTAACGTTGGCACAGATCGAGTAGACGCGGCGTGGCGGCGATCTTGAACAGCGTCCCTCGCTGGGTCTCCCTTATCTCGCCAAGACTCGTTCTCGCGAGAGCCACGCTAGCTCGCCGCGCTACGCCCCTCGCTATTTTGGCCCACTAGCGCGCCTCCGCTAGCCTCCGCAGCTCCGCAATGTTTCCGCTAGCAGCGCGCATGCGCAGCAGCGTCGTCGCTCTAGCGTATAGCGTAGCGGGAGAGCCAAAACGATCTACTAAAACTCTTTATTAGGGAGTTTTCGTAGACCGCGCTGCCTCCTCCGCTAAGCGTTCCGCAACGAAGAAGTTGATACTGCGCCTGCGCGCCGATAGCCTTGACTATGGAGTTCCCGCTATCGTAGCGGGTTGCGGAGGGCCTTGCCGGACGGCGAAAACGATCTACGAAAACTCCCTATTGGCTTCGCCGATACCGAGGCGCTGCCGCGGTTGCAGAAGGCAGCAAAACTCGCTTTCCTCCCACCTATGCACCGCTGTGCTCGGCGAAAATATCGTAGTGTCACTCTGCGCTTGCGTGTGTGGTTTGTGTTGGCATTTTGGAAGCTGCCGGAAATGTAAATACGAGTTCTAGTTCTGAGTGCCAGATGGCGATTAAATGTGCCAACTCCACTCTTGAAACAGGAAATCCTGCAGTTGATGAAGTACAATAAAGTCTCTTCTGAACTTGAGTTCACACCGCTGACTTACATGGCTGGCTACTTGGCCTTCGTTTGCGAACAAAAGGTGACCATTTTTATTTGTAGAAATTGTCGTAATTTCAAAGTAATCAGCTGAAAAATTCAACCTAGCAAAGCAATAAGAATTTCTCAGTGAAAGCAAGGAAGGCTAATGTGTAGAACCCGCTAAACTTTGCAGGTGACGTGTCCTAAATGCAAGCGCAACTTAAGGGAAATGCATCACATGATGGAGCATATCAGTCCATGTTTAGCCTTGACCAAGGAGGACTCAGCTATCCACGACCTGAAGCTGTCTGGCTGCGCAAGCTCGTCTGCACCTTTGTAGAGAGGGCTCTACAGTCGGCAGAGATTCGTGGTTGTGGAAGGATTTGCAAGGTCCTCTCGAGCGCTGTGGTTCCATACCTTATGGATTCCCCGCTGATGTGGTGTGTTAACTGCCGAGACCCCTATCACAGCGAAGAGCTCTGCGAGCTCTTTTTTAGAAAACTCCTCAGACATTTTTGGAAAACTGGGCTGGTGACCTAAACAGCCCACTAGAGAATATATTGAGGCTTTCGCGAAAGCCTTTTTCCCAAAAGGTACTCCGCTTGTGAACTAAATGACTCCCTTGGTCTGTTTTTTGTGAACAATGAAGTTTATAATGCTGAAGTTATAAACGCGGAATCCGACTTTATATTGTCCTTCACAGATGAATAAATGGCACAGCTCGCGCGTGCTCGAGCGTCGGTTAAAACCGGAAATCACACGGCCTAGCTATATCCAACTATAATTCCTATATTAAAGTGGTAATAGAAACGGGGCAACACTTATGGGAAGAAGAAAACGACAATTCGCTCATACTGCCAGCAGAATGCAGCTTTAACGCGCAGCCTGCAGCTGAGTGAGCTTTTCGCAGAAAGAATCATGTGCTTTTATTCTGCACAGATTTGTCACATCATTCATGCAATCTGGCACTCGTTTCAAACGAGACTTGCGGCTTCACGAAAAAAAAAAATGTAAATAGCCACACTGGGCCGGGCCGGGCGTACTGCTCCTCATTATAGTTCGTCTTACCCACGGTGGAAGTGTGGTCTTACCTTAGCATGGACTAACCGCGAACGCTGTGCTAGCGCGAGCGGCTAGCCTTTACTGCCTTGACTGGAGCACTCGCTGCACGAGCACTCATGCAGCCGCCGTGGCTTCCTTCGAAGCAACTATCTCGCGCTTTTAGCACGCGCGGCTAACAAGTACATACTGACGTGAAAGGAAGTATAGAGCTCCTCGATGTGCTTCCCTGAAAGGAACTCTACCTCTCACGCCTCTCACCGATAACGAGCGCCACGGCTGGCGCTGCGGGGTAAAGTAGAACTATCCCTCTCACTGGCGGAGTGAGGCATACGGCAGGCCGCTCCCAAGGGGAGTCCGAATCGAGTGGCCGTGCTCAAGCTGTCCCCGACTATGCGGAGCGCAAGTTCGTCTGCTTCTCGAGCAGGGCTGGCGGTGCAGGAGTGGAACGCATGAAATGTAATTGGGAACAGCCACGGGAGCAGCTGAAACTGCTGTTTTGGACCAGGTTGGGAGCAGCTAAAACTACATTCTGGAGCAGGCTAGGAGCAGCTCAGATAAATTTTCGTTGCACTTCAGCTTGTGTCTTAGATAAGCACGGGAGCAATTCCAATGGCACTTAGCAGCACAGATGAACATAAGTGGTCAGGGACCTAGGTAGATGGGATAACAGTGTAACAGATGAGAAAACTTGAAACTTTGTGAGCCTTAATGAGAACCAAAAAGCAAGGACCATATGTTTTTGCAGATAGTGTCCTTGATATTTTCTCAACGGCTTTTCGCTACTCAAAATGCAAACCAGCTCTGCTTTTCCACAACCCACACGTGCTCGACATAGTTATTATATGTGCGAACCACGTGACGTGCGTAGGCAACGGACGCGCAGTTGCGCGGAGGAACAGGGCAAGAAGTTTCAAGTTTATCCTATTGTGCAACTCAATATCGAGGCAGCAGACTACGAGTAAAGGAGTTATCATATTCTAAACGATAACCAGGAGCATGGTTAAAGTACGCCAAGCAGATCTACTGCTCGCGTGAGAGCTGCTGGCCGGCAAGGTTTCGGATCGGACCGCGTTTCAGTTCTATCAAATCAAGATATCTTGCAGGATTGCAGTTCCAACTTCTAACGATGAAGTACTAAAAGGAACCGTTTGCTCATTTGTTTACAACTGGCTGACGTCCGGATCCCGGGCCGCAGAGCCTCAGGCAATCTCACGCTAGACGACTCGACCTGACCTCGGCCGACTTGTTAACCGCTGATGGTTGAGGAATAAGAATCCAGTCGCAAGTGGTGTAGCGCTTAGAATCCGACCCCGAGTTTTTTCGCGCGCTTCCGACTCGAAGTACACAGAGAGAATAAAGAGAACAAAGGATTGAAAGGCCGAAAAAGCTAAACGCGCTCATTGTTGCCAATCGAGTCGATAGAAATCCAAACCAAGACAGAATACAATTTTTTGGCGCACGTTTTGCGATTTAGTGCATAATGGCGCGAGGTATTGGCTTCGGCACAGTTTCCGCAACAAGGCGCAGGATGGCAAAGACTTACAAGGGTCCGGTGCCGGACCCTTGTACGTACAAGGGGCCGGTGCCCTTGTACCTACAAGGGCGCCTTACCTTGTCAAGTCTCCTCATGGAGGCTTTTCGTCCGGTGTCCTCGGCACAATGTGGCGGAAATCAATTCAATTCAATTCAATTCAAAATGCGTCTGCCAAAAAATGGCGCAAATGGAGCAGCCGTTCCACCCCTGCGGTGTCGTCAGAACGCCGAGCTCCGATGGGCTCTGATTGGAAGGATAGTGGGTACACCTCAAGGCAGGTAGCATTGACGTCTACCCGCTATCCTCGGTCAGACGCAATCAAAGCTCGGCGTTCTAACGTAAATGCAACCCCTGCGCAAGAAGTAGACGACCTCGCACTCCACATAAGGTCACACCTTGTTAACACGAACCCCGCTAATGTGGATAGCCCACTTTCGGGGTACAAGCTGGGTAAAATCGTTTTGCTTTTGAACTCGTTTTTACGAACAACTGACGTTATAGACACTTTTACGTGGGGGAAACGAAGGTGCCCATATTGACAAGACATCACTGTACAGCAGGCATTCAAAATCGGCATGCAATGGCTGGTTGACGTCTGTATATACCTGGTGCGCCATCCCGGTAGTCTTTGTCGAAGTTGCACATATCGTGATTGCAGCAGCGACGATGCACTCTCGCGCCGCCAGTGGCCTCGTCGCCCAAGGAGGCGTTGCAGTCCCAGCGCTCGTGGGGCGCACTGTGTCCCACGGCGTCCCCGACGTCCTGGGGTCCGGCCGATTTGTACGACCTGGCCTCGGAGTCGGCGAGAAGGTCGACGCAGCCGTAGCGCCAGTGGTACGGCCCGGACCCGGTGACGTCACTTGACCAAGCGGACGCCTGGTCCCAGAAACAGAGCTCTTGGCGGGACTTGCACATGTATCCCGTGGACACGCACGCCGCCAGGTTGCAGTGGCAGAAGATTTCGCCTGCGGAAGTATGCCGAGAAGAATAAGGTCGAAATCAGTTAACATCAGTTAGTGAAGTCAAAATTAAAATTAAAAGTTTTTGAAAAAAAAAACAGTGCCGCGTCATTTCCTACGAGTTTTGAACGCCAAGGCAGAGTACTCGTAGTTTATATTAACATATGTAGGACAATAAAAGTCGAAAGCTGGCCTAGTTGGTGTAAGCTAAACATAATGCAGGTAAAACAGCGCAGAACGACAAAGACTAGAACAAAGGAACAGACAAGACGGGACAAACGCTGACTCGCAACTAAAGGTTTTATGACATAAAACATAAAAGAAGTAAACACGTAAGGCAGCAATCTACACATGCGCCAACCTTTCTGCCTCCTCACATAGGGCACTGGTCATCCACGTGCCGCGTGCTGTCCCTTAGCGAAAACTAATACGTTTGAAATATACCACACACTAATTTGAGTGTATTTGAGATACAGTTGATAATTGTAAGTACACGAAAAATATACCGAAAATATAAACTTCTTTTTTTTTTCTTGGTAGTGAAATATACTTCTAAAAAACATTTTAAAATACCCTTACTTAAACTACATTTGAAGTTCCCTTCATGCGTTTTGAAATATGTAAATACTAAATTAATAGGCACAAAATACCTTTCACATATATTTCTTGAAATATTTATTTAATTCATGCAAAATATACTCCAACCCTAAAAAAATGGAGCAATCAAAAATACGTGCAGAATACTATTAAAATACCTGAAAATCGTAAATACTGTTGTGATATACTCTAAGTACCTTTTGACTGCAGTACTTTGGTAGTTTGACTTAAACTACCAAAATATTGAAAAGCTCCCCTTCTAGAAGTTCACTTCAAGCAGATATAAAGTACACAGCTGAAGCGCCTAAATACAACATTTGATTAGTTTGTCAACTGAATTGCGCAGCACCGCACTGATAAATCAGCCCAGTTTATGTTATTGTTTCCTTTTTTTCTATCAAGAACAGACCTGATCAGTTCCTTGCACACCAATCACAAACGGGGTTGAAGAAATACAACCACAACATTTGCTGATGCTGGAAAGCTTCAGCAGGTGCTGTGAACAGATACGTTTGGCCTGGTTTTGTTAGCACAATATTAGTTCACTGAACGTGTACGTGTACCATTGTACGTGATGTGAATAGTGGCTTTAATATAGTGACATTAACTACCATATTAAATAGTCTACTACTAAAAAGAAAAGGCAAAACAACTACTGTAAAATATTTATTTTTCGCGGGCTCAATATTTCGCCATTTAGGTCAAAGTTGGAGTTCTGGAATAATTCGCAAATTCTAAGTTTCGCGACGCGCTGGGATCGCAATATAGATTTTAATGTTTTTACATTTTGCCGGAATTATTCACGGGACCTATTTTTCGGAATTGTAGGCGATTCGCGAACTTTGCGAGAATTAGGTCCTCACGAAAATAAAGTCGTTTACAGTATTTTAAACTGAAGAAACTGCCTTGATTCGCTTCGTCCTGAGTGGTGCTACGCAGAGAAGCAATAACATGTATTTTATGAGCCGTTTGTGTGGATATTGTTTTAGGGACTGCGCCGAATTGTTATTAGTTGTACCAATGCCTTTTAGTAAGAGATATCGTCCACGAACTTCAAAACACTGTTTCCCCTTCGACAGACTTCCGAGGAGAAGATCGAATACTTGGAACCTTAATAAGCGCAGAGGTGGTCACCGAAAAAATGATTACCTTCAATATGTAGGCTATATAAGGCTCTAGAGCAGTCAATGACACTGTAAATGAGCTGTTCAGTGCGTCATGGTGTTTGTGTTCGTTTCTAACGTAGCTTTGTAAGATGTATTAGTAGTGCCTTCAAATACCACAGGGACACCATTTGCTGACAAAATCGAAAAAAAAAATTGTGTAACCGGTTTTTAATGCACAAATGGCATCTTGAGTGTGAAGGAATAATATTTTTGGTATATCTAAAATATTTTTTTATTCATATGTATAATGTATTTTGAATACCTTACGGGTGTATTTCGAATGCGGCCAAAATAATACAGAATAAATACAAAATGAATATTCGTACTAAATATATTTCAACTTCGTTTGAAGTACGGCCTCTTTTTGCTAAGGGGTCCCCCCCCCCCCCCCCCTTCCCGCCTTTTTTTCATTGTCGAAGACAGAAACAATCTCTCTTTCACATCTAAAACCACCGACGGCTCGCTAATGCATTGCGCCTAGCTTTCCGCCATGTAAAAAGCCTCCATCACCTCCCTCGTCACCTTGTCTTTGTGCCTATCTATACAAGCGTGGTCTCCTCGAAGGGCGGCTTGCACAAACAGCTCTTACAGTGCACCGTTACATGCCCTCCTACCGGGGTTCTCAGTGAATAGTTGTGTTTCCTGAGCCTATCATTTAAACACCTCTCCGTCCGTCCAATATACACTTTACCACACGAGAGGGGACCTTGTATACCACTCCGGAAACGCAGCTCACAAACGGCTTTGCGTGCTTCATTGTACACTTGTTCTTTGACAGCCCTCACCCTCGAACCCATCTGGCTGAACTTCTGAGGGGGCGGAAAACACCACAAGGACATTGTACCGAGTTCCTACTTTCTTTAAATCGTGAGAGACCTTGTGCAGGTACGGGATGACGACAGTCCTTCGCCTGCCCAACACTTTCTTAGGGGGAGAGGTTCCTTTTACTTTTTTAACAAAGGTACTGGCAACATCACACAGCAAAGCACTCGGAAACCCAGCGTCTCTTAGCCTATCGCACTGCGCCTGAAAGCTCTTATGCACCGTGTGGACACAAGACCTGTTTAGGGCCGCGTCCAAGCACGACATCGCAATGCCCCTTTTGATAACCTTCGAGTTGCTGACCTATAGGCTAAGATGGCCTTTTTTGACCAAGGGCTATACGCCCAGCATATATGACCGCCGCCGTAGCGAAGGGAAAGGTCCAAAAACTGAAAAACCTAGACATGAACCTGATGCCCCCCCCCCCCCCCCCCACCCCCCCCCCCACACACACATTCGCCAAAATTGCCAAAACGTCACCCACTGAGGACACCGTGCCGTCAAAACCCTTCAGGAACACTAAGAAATCATCAACATAGCGAGCCACCTTTTTAACCGTGGTGGAACCCAGAGACCCTTGAATGTCCCGGTCAACTCCACTCAAGTAAATATCACTCAATACGGAAGCAACACACGAGCCAGTACAAACGCCGGACCTTTGTGCATCGCTTCTAGTCTTTGTCGTTCAGCACAGTTTTACCAAACCGTGCCGTCAAAACCCTCCAGGAACACTAAGAAATCATCAACATTACGAACCACCTTTTTAACCGTGGTGGAACCCAGAGATCCTTGAATGTCCCGGTCAACTCCACTCAAGTAAATATCACTCAATACGGAAGCAACACACGAGCCAGTACAAACGCCGGACCTTTGTGCATCGCTTCTAGTCTTTGTCGTTCAGCACAGTTTTACCAAACCGTGCCGTCAAAACGCTCCAGGAACACTAAGAAATCATCAACATTACGAACCACCTTTTTAACCGTGGTGGAACCCAGAGATCCTTGAATGTCCCGGTCAACTCCACTCAAGTAAATATCACTCAATACGGAAGCAACACACGAGCCAGTACAAACGCCGGACCTTTGTGCATCGCTTCTAGTCTTTGTCGTTCAGCACAGTTTTACCAAACCGTGCCGTCAAAACCCTCCAGGAACACTAAGAAATCATCAACATTACGAACCACCTTTTTAACCGTGGTGGAACCCAGAGATCCTTAAATGTCCCGGTCAAGTCCACTCAAGTAAATATCACTCAATACGGAAGCAACACACGAGCCAGTACAAACGCCGGACCTTTGTGCATCGCTTCTAGTCTTTGTCGTTCAGCACAGTTTTACCAAACCGTGCCGTCAAAACCCTCCAGGAACACTAAGAAATCATCAACATAACGAACCACCTTTTTAACCGTGGTGGAACCCAGAGACCCTTCAATGTCCCGGTCAACTCCACTCAAGTAAATATCACTCAATACGGAAGCAACACACGAGCCAGTACAAACGCCGGACCTTTGTGCATCGCTTCTAGTCTTTGTCGTTCAGCGCTGTTTTACCAACATTATATGTAAGATTAGACCAAGAAATAAGTTGTATCAAACTGGTTTTTTGTGGATACAAGGAGCATACACCCGAACAGAGTGGAGGAAGTGCGGCACACTTACATATGGTTGTGTTCATTTCAGTCAGGAACAATTTTAAAACGTAATTTTATTTAAAAAAAAATCTTTGGTGAATCTTTTTGATATGAGAGACAGCGCAAACTGAAAGCTAGGCGGATGTTTTGTTTGTTTTAGAGTTATTGAACATTGAATTTGACAGGGCGAGAACTGACGTTTCTCCCACCGGTCGGGGTTTTAAAGTTTGACCGGTCGCTACTTTCTCATTTACCAAAATAAAGCACTAAGACTCGTTTGTGACGCTCCCGAAGTAGATTTAATTGCGGTTAAAGGGGAACTCCGCCGATTTTTCGAGCTACCTAATCCAAAGGCATCATCTGAATGCGGATGGCTTCCTGATTCAGAAATGCTATCTGGTTCCCCATATTCACTCTGGATAATTAAAGAAGTTATATTTTGTTCGCTGCCAAAACCGAAACATTTTTCTCCCTAGTTTTTCCAGTCACCCAAACGTGAAGTCACCGGCGGGCAGCGAGGCGCGCGGCCGGCAATCGGGTACGTCGCGCCCGCCTTTCTCGCGTCTAACAGGGAGAAAACGTAAGCGTTCGTGCTATCTGAAGCTGATAATAATCTCGATTTGCACAAAATGTGACCTTTGTTTAAGTGCTGAGCTATGAGAAAGTAAAAAAAAAAAAGGAGTAAATGGGATTTTGAGAAAACCGTTTTTGTCACTCGGTATGCTCGCTAGTTTCGTGGAATCGCTAGCAAGTCTGTTCGCCGGTTACGCTGGCAAAAAAATGACGACGAGCC